ATGTACTTAAGTACAGTAACGTAGTATTTGTACTCGGCTACTTCCCCCCCTGCAGGTTTGTATTGTTAGTTATAATATGATGTAATCTTCTCACAGGCGGTTTCCGTGCTCCTTGCAGACCACGTTAGCGGCCGCCATGTTCCACGTCTCGCTGCAAACCATTAACTCCCGTCCGGCCCAAGGGAACTCATCGTTGGGAAGGAAGACTTTAACGCCTCCTGTCAGAGAGTCTATTGAACTCATGAATGTTGGATTCTCCGCTGTGGTGAAAGAGAAATGACGGCAATTAGAAATGGGAAAATAGCTATAGTTATATATGTAAAAGTAAAAGTACCTGTTGGTTGTTAAAATCAGCTGAACATTGTTAAATATTCAACTTGTATTAGACTTTACTACACTAGTAATCTTTACGTACCATAACACAATGTTCTTAATTTATTAAGTGCAAAATAAAAAAATGATGGCAATTAGAAATAGGATATATAGCAGTGATGTAAAAGTGGCATTTGTGAGACCAAACCTCCGCAATTTTCTCCGAAGTGGGACATGGTGGTTTTCTGGGTAAGACACGAGGCGGCCATGACCTGGAAAACAGATTGTTATTGTGTAAAAAAGAAATGTAATGCAAGTCCTGCTTTGTGTGTCTGTAACCAGTTCCCTCACCTGGCAGAAGGAGCGGTACTTCCTGTTGTCCCGTCCACAAACTGGAGACACGTCCTCTGCCGGACACAGGTACGGAGGTTTACAGGAGCAGTGTCCTTCAATGCAACGCTCCCACGGAGGACAGAAGACCAGCGAACAAGATCCTCGAGTAAATCTGACAAACCACGAAAGATCGATCATCATTTAGAGACAAAGGACTGCAGTGAGGTCAGAGAATACTGGCAGTAAGGCCAGTACTGGCATATTGCAACATACGCAAATATTGCTTTTGGCCTTTAAATGGAGAACAAACTCCACTTACTTCTTCTCAAAACACTCAACAGGTCCCAGAAACTCGTCCGTTGCGGGGGCTTCAGGGGTCGTTGGGGCTTCAGGGGTCGTTGGGGCTTCAGGGGTCGTTGGGGCTTCAGGGGTCGTTGGGGCTTCAGTGGTCGTTGGGGCTTCAGTGGTGGAAACAGGAGGGTCTGGGGGTTTTGCTGGTACTTTTAGGGTCTGATGGATCTGCTCTACATGTTTTTGACCCTTCTGCGACTAATCCGGGTGCAGAACCATTTTATAAATCAAGAGGACAAAAGAAAATGAAGTGTTACGCAGACGATTCACAACTTTATAAGTATGTTGGTTGTTAAAATCAGCTGAACATTGTTAAATATTCATTTTATTGACTTAACTTGACTTTACTATACTGTAAACCAAACTACAGTACATTTTACGTACAATAATGTTCTTAATTTACTGAGAAATGTTTACAATTAGAATGTTTGGTGGGAAAAAATTCAAACTAAGTTAAAACAAAGTAGGAATTCTTCAAAGTGCTTTATATTAGGGCTGCTCGATTATGGCAAAAATCATAATCTCGATTATTTGGGTCAATAATTGATATCACGATTATTAAAAACAATTATCCATTTACTTTGAAAAAATCAATTTATTGGAGAAAAAAATGTTGAACAGTATGTTTTTAACAGTTACCCTGAACTTTAAGTATATTTCAACTGAAAAAAATAAAAATAAATAAATAATAATAATAATCGTTTTATTTCCGATTACGTTTTTTTCGTAATCGTTGGAAGCCATAATCGTAATCCCGATTAAAA